GTCTTACCTCGGTTTAAAACTGTTACTTATGGAAAACATTCTCTCAGATTTCTCGGACCACAATTGTGGTCAAAATTAAGCAAGGAGGAGAGAAATATTGGAACTTTGGCAACTTTTAGGACAATGATACGTAAGAAGGATGTAACATCATTTCTTGAAGGATATGGGAGTGAATGCCGCTTATGCTTAGATTAACTGGACGTACGCATATTTACTCATCATTTTAGTGTCCGAGCTCATATATGCATTTAGTTTTTATATTGTAAACTTCGAACTTAGCTTCAAAGTGTTAAAGAGTAAATTTAGAACTTAGTTTTAAAGTGTAAAAGAGTACATAGCTTGAATAGTGTTAATTTCCGGCTTTTTTTATATGTTTTATAGTACTTAATTAGTTTCTATTAATGATGTAATTTAGTTTTAAAGGTGTCCCCAATTAGTGCCAATAGGCACTAGAACTATTAGACACTTTAAAAAAGGTTATGTATGTATGTATGTATGTATGTATGTATGTATGTATGTATGTATGTATGTATGTATGTATGTATGTATGTATGTATGTATGTAACTGTCACATTTATCACCATATTGCTAGACCGAAACTACTGCACACAAGATTAACCCCAGTGTTTTTTATATTAATATTTTTTTTCCTTCCTCTTTTTGCATTTCCTTGGAAGCATACTTATCCCCAGAATCATCGCCACGAGTAGTTAAATAAAGATATTGTAAGTTTTTATACGAAAGAGAAAAAGGCAGTTTACAGACGGTAAGTAATTAATCCCCTTTATGAAGAAATTGCTAATGCTTAGTTTAGTTTACGATTGTTTTTTTTTAGGTTTCTGAAGTAACAGCAGAAAACCGCCAAGGAATAAACGTAGTTGTTCTTAATCAAGGAACCGGAGATGTTATGGCAGTACGAGGGTTTGATACATATTCCTCAAAAGCAGATTCTAAACAGCTTATAAACTTCATCAACAATCTGGCGGATGGTCGCGTCCTGTGTTTTGCCGTTAGGGTATGTGAGAACTAAGTTTTTGGGGGGGAACTGAACGCAGGGTTTTCTGGTCCATTAACAAAAGGAGGGAGAAAGCAAGGGTGGAAAGCTGTTTTTCAACGTTGAGAGTTAGTAAAGGTATTTTGCTTGAGCCAAGATTTGGAAAGCGCTTGCAAATTAAGCAAAGAAGACATTTTCATAGATTAATTTTTCGAGAGACACAGCCGTGCTGAAACAAGCTATTACAATACTTTTGAAGCTCCACTAATAACCGTCCGAACAATGAAGGTGATGATGATGATGATGATGATGGTGACCATATTGGTGATAATAATAATGACGATAATAGTGTTGATAATGATGATGACGACAGGAGCTGATGATGTTCATGTTGTTGTTGTTGTTGATGATGATGTTGATGATGATGATGATGATAATGATGTTGATAATGATGTTAATGTTGTTGTTGTTGTTGTTGATGTTGATGTTGATGATCTTGCTGCTGCTGATGATGACGTTGTTGATGATGATGATGATGATGATGATGATGACAATGACAACGGTGATAATGATAGGTTGACAATGAAAATGACGATAATGATGGTGTCATCTCTATTCCAGGACGAGGCTACAGCAAGTTTAATGATCTACGCCCGCAGCTTTATCAGAAAACTGGGAAGCAGCTTCATTAACCAGTTAGGCTGGCGAGACATGTGGGCATTTGTGGCTCAGCGATTAAGAAAAACTGCGAGATGATCTGATATGCTCTCAGTCACGTTTCTTAGACAGTCATGTATTCGCTATTTATGTGCCTTAGGGTAATTCATCTGAAAGTCTATGAAAAGTCTGAAACTACTTTCAGAAGCCCCGTCTGTGAGGTCGTAGCTGCTTATCAAGTGATGAAATCTCAAGGGACTGAACACAGAAGAAGAGAAATAAAGATTGTTTTTCATGTTTAATAATGACATGAAATCAACGAAAGTTCATGATAATACATTAGCAAAAACAAACAATAAAATCGTCAGTGCGCATTGAAAAGATGGGTTTGAAAGTTTCTAGGATACGTTAAGGGTCCGGGTAAAAATTCGCAACTCAAAATGACCCAAAATGTGTTTCAACGTGTTGAATAAACAATTTGACGAATCGATTTCCATCTCGCTCCACATCATCAAGGCAAATGCTGTCCCGATTGCTGTACGTGTTGTTTTAAACTGATCTCGCTTGGTAAAAACATGTAATCAGCCGTACAGGATATACGACCGCACTAAAATGCAATGAAAACTCGAAAAGATTCAAACACAAAACTGTGGAATTTTAAAATTCAAATCCCATTTTCAGGAACCGTTGTGAGAATCGAGCGTAAAACAACCATGAACAAACTTATTCGAATTTTATTGGGTATGGTAGTGGTTTTAACGTTTTTAGGAAACATACTGTTTATAATGGAAACTAGGAAATTGAACAGCGACTCCGAAAAAGCAGTTGACATCCCAATGGGTCGTCGACAGTCACTTCCGCGAAATCTTGAAGATGAGTTACGCCGAGCAGCAGAGCTAAAACCTGCTAAAACCACAGGTACTACATATGTGTACACTACATTTCTGTCATGCTGTGCTGGGTATTATTTTACTTTGCATAGGTTTTTAGATCGATACTATTTTATTTTAATACAGCATTCAGAGCTGCACTCGACAAAGGCGACGCTTTAAAATAAGTAACAATGATTTAATGGTTCATGGCAACTTAGCTCAACTTATGTTGACAGTTAAACGCTGACAATTTACCGGTAGGCGACGAGAGAGTCAATGTTAAAATGAATACATGCATGTTTTCATGAGAAGATGTCACTAAAATAAACGTTTATTTGGAACAAAGAAGGGAGGAAATGGTCATAGAGGAACCACATTGGTTTTTCCGTCTTTGTAGAATTATTCTGAAAGTGCCAGTTAGAAGGATACATGTTTTTGCTATTTCAAAAACTTGGTTGTTCGTCTTTAAACTGACAAGTTTTAAACAAGTTTTTATATCTTTAACTTTGTTTGTTAGAATGACATGAGATCAACTGCTTTTAGCCATGTTGAAGAAGAACTAAAAAATACTTACTATTTGTATTTTCTGACTGATTTCTTTTATATTCAGTGTGATTAATTGTTTGACAGAAAATCTCCACAAAAAAGCGATAATAAACGTTAACAACAAAAGGCGACCTTGTTTTCCCAGCTTTTCGACTAATAAAAATGGAATTAAAATCTAGCTCATTTTCTTATCTTTCTCTTTAGCTTTTTTAGATATTCAGGTGTACTCGAGCAAAGGAAACACTTCAGTCGTAGTCAACGGAAAACTGGTAAGTATATTACGCGATTAGGACCATGCACGTTTGTCGCTGCACGGCTGAAAAAAAAAAAACCAAACGAAACCAAA